GTCCCAAGATCACAAGTAGAATTTTTGAAAGGAATCAAAGAACAAAAGGACGCCAACATCAAAACAGGACTGAAAATGAGCATTAAGAAAACATCGGCCATTTTTAACAAATACGTGACCACGATCTGTTGAAATCAATGGGCTAAGACTTGAAGAAATGTAAATTTACGTTTTTCGCTGTCTGATGAGCTGTCCAACGGAGAAACAAATCTCTGAAATCAGCCCAACAGTAAAAGTGGCATGGAACACTTTTGGAAGATTGACATTGTCCCCTGTTGGAAAACACTTACTGTAATTGAAGCGGAAGTTCTGCAACAACGTAGGCAGGTTTCAACATTCACATTTGCTTTCCCATACCTTTGCCTGAATTTTCCACTCTAATCTGTATCGTGCTTTCAGTATCTTTTCTGATTCATGCAGCCTCTTTTGTGGTATTTCGTCATTCTTGCCTTTCAGTTTCGAAGTGACTATTTTAGTTTCAATGATTTTAACAACGCAGTATTTTCCTGTACCTCGCCCTTAAACCTGCCTCTTTACCTTTTATTTAAGTAGTTGCCTTCCTTGGAATTTTTTACATTTTTTCAAGGTGTTTATCCATGTTCATAACGCTTCAGTAAAAGGAGTCTTCATCATATTATTCGCTGGTACTAAATGAGAACAAACTTTCTAAGGCCAATTTGACAATTTGCATACCTTCATTATTGCACGACTGAGCAATCGCATTTATGTCTTTAACAAAAGAAGGAAATGACTGCACTGAATTAGTCTTCATTTTTCTCTTGAGAGAGGTCAAACAGCAATTTTTTGCTACAAGGGCGATACGACATTAGACAGGTTAAAACTTGGAGTGATAAATTTTAAGGTTATTCTTGAGGGTCGGATATTTGAGGTATTTAACGAAACTATACACCATAACATACTATTAATAGTATAAGCAGTTTCGAATATATATATAAAGTCTTTCTATTCCTAATTTCAACCTACTGTACAAATACTTTTCTGTGCTGCGTTGGATAGTATGCAGTTTTTGCATTTTTCGTGCTTAGAGGTTCGTACTTTGCACACATAGATTAGCAGCGAAGGCGCACACTGATTGAGTACTTTTTGTTTCAAGCATAAATGATATTTCCCGGATGCCAACATTTTTGTACCTCCAAAAAAGTACACCATGCAAGTTATACTCTTTTGTTTATTTCGCAGAATCGCTTATTAGTTGTTGCAATCAGACATGGTCGTATTGTACACGTTTTCAAACTATTCCCGTTGACTCTGACAGTTCGCACCGTCACATGTTTGTTGAAAATGAACTGAATCTCCTTCAGGTTTTCATGTTTAGTCTCACATTCATGCTGGCATTGTTCTTCTGATGACTTCCAGAGGATGAAAATATCGTCCGCAAACCATAAGTGGCTTAAGTAGCATCTATTCATATTCAGTCGCTGATTTTCTGAAAAGAATATCTTGAAAACGGCTTCTAGGGCTGTTGTGAATCACTTCGTAACGCCGTGTCTCCCGGTCCAATGCCTTGTTCGATTTTGAAATTACGTGTACTTTACAGTAACAGTTGCATTCTTTCAATAATGGCGATGATCCCTCGCTCTTCAAGGAATCCAGTACTGAACGGAGGTAGAGCGAGTCAGAGACGTTCTCCAAATCGAGGTAACCCAGATACAGAGGAAGGGAAGCTGATACCCGTTGCTTGTGTGAGTTACTTGTTGTACCACGTGTAGATGATCCATCGTACTCAATCCACTTCTTAATCCTGCTTGCTCCTTTGGCTGTTCAGCGTTCAGTTTTTCTTGAAGTTTGTTCTTTGGTACTGATGGTTGAAGATCACTTGTAGATGGTCGACCTGCAATTGTTCACAATCTCTTTGTTTCCTATATTGCGAAGTGGAATCACCAATACGCTAAGCCAAATGGTCTGACATTCTCAGTTCCTTCAGACAGCGTGAAAACAAGCGCTAGTATGTTGATCGTTCCTCCATCAGCAAATGTCTCAAGTTCCATTGTAATGCCGTCTTCATGAGGAGTCATTCCTCTCGTGTTGACTGTTTTGTTGTGTCGTAGTTTTTCTGGCAAGATGTCCATAATTTCGTCAAGTTCATTTCTTCCTTAAGGTTGTTTGTTGTCGCAAACGGTGTTGATATTTTCATCTATAGAAATCTGTAGAAATTTTAGTTTTCTATAGAGATATATTCTATTGAGAATCGCGGTCTTTCCCTGACGGGGTCCCGTCTTCTGCTTCGACAGCCAAAGTTTGTCGTTTCCTGACCATTGGTCATTCCTTTGTTTGATTTCTTCGTACATCCATTGTTTTCAATCGTTTCTTTTACCGATTGTAGCTGAATGCGCAGACGTCTTCTATCAGTTTTCTTAAAGTTTCAAGTTTTGCAAAGTTCCACGTTTCCTTTGTGATCTGTTATTTCGTTTATTTCGTGATTTTTCGCTCAACCTTCATAATCCTTGTTCCAGAGATATTTTCCACCGTTTCCATAATTGCCTTCGTTATATCTTGATATACTACCTTCATTTCTTGTGCTTCTCCTGCTTTTTCTTCTTGAATTCTGTGAACTTCATCGAATCGGTCATTTGATTTGAGTTGGAGGTTTTTCTTTACTATTTAGACGTCGAGTATCATGCGTTTGGTCCTCAACAATTTCCTCTTTCTGAAGTTGAGTCCAGACGCACTTTGCAACTGACGGTAAGAATTTGTGATCGCTTCCTACATTAAACTTATTCATCATCTCGACGTCCTGCACTGTGGTTTTCATGTTAATGAAGATGAAATTTGATTCATTTATGATGTTGTTTGAGTGTTTCTGTATCCATCATTAGTTTTTATGAAAATTGACGTTCGTAGTAAATAATCGACTATAATTAACCGTCCATGTTCTTCCTTTCACCGTAACCAAACCGTGCTCAACTTGTACTGGCCCTTTCAATGGTCATACGTATTTGTTTCTTCGCTGAACTTTCAATCACTTCATTTCGGACGGTTTGATGTTCGTCATATACTTGGATCACTTGGGGTTCGTATCTGTTTGCAACTCTCAGAACCAGTTTTGCACATTTTCCAATACTTCTATTTTGTTTTACTACATTGCGTTTTAATCTTCTGTGGATAATGGACCGTACTGCCGTGTTACGAATCTCAGTACCGTACCATTTAGCGATTCTCTGAAAAACGGCAGATGTCCACAGCCTCTCATTATAACGAACTCCGCTGAGTTCTACAGTGTCCCATTTGATTGTTATGAGTTATTCGTCCAGCTCGAGAAGCCGTGCTTCGCCTAGAAGTGATCTGCAGTGGTACGTTGCCGGTGTTAATAAATCGTAGCAGCTCCGATTCGTAATAACCCGGTTATGCTTAGCCTTTATGCCTGAGCATCTGCTAATTTCGCTGGTGGCCATTCAACCTCTAGAGAATGCAGGCCATGGTTTTGACTGATATCATCCAGTGGGAGCTGGCCATGACTCACCACGCCTGGTCAGGCGGGTCGGTGAATGTTGCCTCTGTCGATATTTGTCTAGCATTCACAGCCTACAGACTCAGCTGTGCAGTGCCTTGAGAATCCGTTGAGGCAGTGGATTTAAGAGGCATGGGATCTAATCATGTATTGTACTTTATGCTGGATTATTTGCTACGGTATTTGATTTGTTCTGCCGAGTTTGAGCCTTCAGTCCACACTGAAGTGGGGTCCAAAACATCGACTTAAAATAAGGAATTAACATTCGATATCTGTTCCTTATGCCCTTAACTACTCTGCAGCAAGATCGTCGATCTTGAAGACTTCTTACTGTTCATTTTGTTTCAACGTTTCCTCTCCCCATGCAGGCGGCTTTTCTTTGTGGTTACGCCATAAAATCCATTGGAAAACAGTGCCCCAATGGTTAAAAATTTTTCATCACTTGTCTGTACTCACAGATTGAATGGCATGGCATATTTACTCTTGATTCTAAGTCCGGATATTCCTTTCCTGAATCGATTCAATTTGAACAAATATAAAAATCGACTAACCTCCTGTTACTGTAGTTCCCTAACTAACCATTTAGGGGTGTGTGCAAGGCTTTTAAGGCTGTCTTGGTGACAGGCTACACTTCCGTGTATTTCTCCTTTGCTGTAATCCCTCATTTTGAGTGCTGTTTCTTCTCCACTGCATGGGCGCACTTACGGCGAACCTTACATGTCCTGTGAAACGCGTTTAAACTAATCTTTTAACTTCTGTCGCGATTGCCCGTGGATGCATACATAAGAGGGCATCTTATGGATTATCCCGAGGAGGGGTGCGAAGTCTGAATGCGTGATTCGAATCCGAAATCCAAAGTCGTCAGCACTGCTAGAGATCCCGCCAGGAGCGGTCGGTGGTACCGAATTGACGCAGCCGCGTACATGAACGAATACAAATCGAAACTAATCAAATTTTTGACGAACAGCAGCCCGTGGTGGTAAAATCAACAAAGTTTATTGTGCAGAGGGAGCGGGCGAAAACGGGAGCAGTGTGGCCATCAGTCACTCGGGCACTCGGTCAACAGAGGGTGACAAAACTCAGTGCCTTTCACGCGCCGTGACAGGCGCCATTGCGTACACACCATCCTCACAGCGACCCTCTCGCTGGAGCTGGCGATGGGCGACAGCCGCCGGCCGGTCGGTCGGACAGAAAACTCCTCGCTACCTCAACGACGCCTCGGCTCCGTCATCCACAGACGCACCGCACGATGACCCTTATGATGAGTTCGCGAGGACCGCTGCCGGCTCGGCCGATACGCCACACCGCCTTCTTCTGACCCCTCGTCCTTCATGTGCTGGCAGCGTGAAGTGCCACTTGCCTAATGGATCTCAGAATGTCAGATGGACCGTAGAGCCGCCGCGCGAATCGCCCCTCGTCAAATCCTGACCATACGAAGATTTTGGCGCGATCCTCGTCTGCTCTTGTTTCGCTGTCCTTGGTTAATTGCAAATCGCGACGATGGTACCGAAGCATCAGTCATCCGTACAGTCGACGTGTAACGGTACGGTAAAGAAAAGCGGCTTTCTTGATTCGCATGCACAGCTGCTCGGCGAGGAAGCTAAAGCAATTTACAAACGGTGGCTAAGAACTGCGTTTTACTTGTGCTTTCGTAAACGGGGG